TCAATGAAATACAGCGACGAACGTGTAAAAACGTGACATTTCGGCCCGTGCGGCAGCTGTTCCCGCGCGCAGTACCCCGCGCGGCGCAAAATCTCACGTTTTTACACGTTCGTCGCTGTATTTCATTGAGTAATTATCAAAAGTACTCTCTGAAAACTTGCATATCGATAGGAAATTTCCTCAGCTTTCGATTGGCACTATCTAAAAAAATCTTAAAAATGCCGTTTTTGAGAAATTTGAGTTTGAAAGTTTATGTCAAGTTTTTCCGGGGAAAATGGAAAATTTTGGAAAATCTGACCTCATCATCGGAAAGCTGAGGAAATTTCCTATCAAAATCATATGGCACATATTTTTTCTGGGTGCATTTAGGTGCTTTTCTGGTGAGTTACAAATTGAACAATTTCGATTAATAATGCCGCGCGGGCGCCGCGCTAGGAGACTTGACGTGAAATGACTCATATATAGCGTGTATATAGGTACGTATACATAGGAGAGAGCTCTATATATATACAGGAGGAGCGCCGCGCGGCGGCAACTCGTACATAACTAAAACATCCTTTCAGGCGCGCGTTACACTTGGCTGCTACATATATATACACTATTATATATTGTACGGAGTCAAGCGAGTCGAGAGTTTGCCTTTGCGCTGTATATATATTCACACACTTACAATCGAAACGACTCGTGCAGGACAAAGAGTCAATACAGCTCGAGACACCTCGGCCTCTTGCAGAAACAGGCGTTAATGAAGCATTGACGATCGTCCCGCGGCCCTCGTGCCGCGTATCGTCGTATATATACACACCATTCGTCATCAACTCCGAGAGTCGTATACACTCGGACGCGCGCGCAGTTTCAGAGTACGGCGTCGGGGCGCGCGAGCCAAATCGACGCGTATATATAGCTGTCGCTCTCCTGCGCCGGGCCTCGTTAAGAAGCCATTAGCGAGTGCGTGCGCGGGCTCTACATATACTTTTATCAATGTATACCACGCGTGCGTGCGCGTACTCCACGTAGAGAGAGAAAGCTCGAGATTTTCCAGCACCATTACTATTATTATTATCATCGCTATTTCTACCACTATATTATTATTATTATCAGGGGCTTCAACGCGCGGTTATACGCGTATACGTACTTAGGTGCGTGCATACAGTGCGCATATACGTACGTGAGGCGTATGCGGAACTCCGCTGCGAAGTGCTGCTGCTGCGATCGCTTCAACGCCCCTGAGAGAGGCCTCTCCAGACGAATATTACGTCTATATTATATTACGTGTGTATGTGCGTGTGTGTTATATAGCACATGGCACGCACACACCGACACGCGTGGAAAGCTTTTTATCATCGAGAGATTTTCGGGCCCCACCGCGGATTTATGCACGCGAAAATGAGCATCGCAGCATCGAGGACAGGGGAGGTTGGAAAAGCTCGCTCATGGAAGAGCTTTATAACCCCGTGCCGCTGCCGCTGCAGAGAAACCCCACCACCGGGTTTCGTCGGTTCGAAACTATCTCTCTTTTTCACGAGTGGGCGAAAAAGAGAGAGACGCGCATTTTTTTTTCGTTGCGCCTCTCTTCCTCCACTTTTTCTTTTCTCTCTACTCGCGCGCGCGCGCTTCATTCATTGTATGTAAATCACGGGACGATTATGTGTTGTCGGGGACGAGCGGGCGCGCGCCTCGAATTGTTATATCCCGCGCGTATATAGAGGTATATATGCGCCAGCTCAGAGCGAGCTAATGGTAATGATGATGATTATTGCTTTGAAAATTAATGCCCGCGAGAGAGAGAGAGAGAGCACGAAAATGCTCGCCTCTTATACGCCGTTATTATGAAGTAGAAGCTGGCTAAAAACGCCGCTGCGCGCGCTTTTCCTTAATATAACGTATTAGACGCGCGCCGAGTAAAAAATAGCCTCGACCCTGCTACTTCTGCTTTATTCTATTCCTGCGCCGAGAATTGAGATACGAGCTTGGCTATGTATAGCTCTCGAGTGGTATATTTCACTACTATTTTCCACCCCCCCAAAACTCGAGCTTTGGCAATGCGCGCGAGTGGAATCGTTCGCTTGGTACAACGCGAAAGAGCCGCTGCTGCTGCCACACGGTCCCACAAAGCCAGTCACCGTCGTCGAGCTTTATTTTCTACCATAAAGCAGACTTGTTTACAAAGTTCCATTTTCTCCTTTGACTCACTACTTCTCTTTCTTTTCTTCGCGTGTTTCACTACTACTACTACTAGTAGTAGAGGCGAGCCAAGAGCGAGAAACAATGCAATAAAATGAGAGTCACCGATAGCAACTTTTACCCGTGCGGGTGCGCAAGCAGCAGCAGCAGCAGCAGATTATATTGTATACGACAGCGGCGGCGACGCCAGAGACAGCGTCTATAATCGAGAGAACGAGGAGGAGCAGAGCACGGAAAAGATCGCAAAGTATATATAGATAGAGCGAAAAACGATACGAGTCGTGGTGCGCTCGTGCGGCGCTCTATTAGGAAATTACCCGATAAAGCAGAGCAGAGCAGAGAGCATATAAGAGAGAGAGAGAGAGTCAAAGTGCAAGAGGAGAAGCTCGTCGGTGCGTGCCTCGAGTCGGCGGTCTCGGCGGCGCGTCTTTGTTTGTATTGAATTGGAAACAATGGGGATAGCTGCACTGTGCTACTGGGAAGGTCAGGAGCTAGCTCCGCGCTCACCTATATCATGCGCTCGAGAGCTCGTGCCGCTGCTTTTGCCGGGCTGCACACTCGGTGCTGTACGCGAGCGTAGAGAGAGAGATATATATCATATCTCTATATACCAGAGCCGCACCGTAATATCGTAGATGAAAGAGGAGCAAAAAAAAACTTTTTAAAGCTGCTAAAGCTGCACTATATACGTGTATGTATATATTATATCGGCCGAGAAGTGTGCGCGTACAAAAACGAGCGCCGTATGATACGAAAAGCGATGAAAACTCCCGTCCGAGCACGCGCGAGCTAGTGTTCGACCGTATACTCGTGTGTATAACTCGCTCATATATATTTACGAAATACGATGCGATACGCGCGAAAAAAGAGTTGGAAAGAGGGAAAATATGCGGAGAAATAGAAACTGGGCGCCGATCATATGCTAACCTCGTATCGACGATATACATTACCGATATATGTTTCACGTGGAGCTTTTTATACGTCCCAAAGAGCAGGTATATACATACGTCATTATGGCTAACGCAACATTTGACGGCGTGACAATATAACAGGAGAGCTTGAACTCGAGCGAGGGTGGATGGAAGCATGCGAACCTTCGCGCCTACTGATCATTTAGAAAAATGCGATCGTATGCGGGGAAAATGAAAAAAATTAAGGGAAAATAATTTTTCAATATTACTGAATCTTCAGCTCGGCAAACAGAAAGAATTCATAGTTTCACAGTTTTGATTAGGTAACGCCATTTACCATCGAAGTTTGATATCGATGCCGTCCGGACATGATGGTTCATTAAATGAGAAATTGATCAAAATCAATTAAACATATTAAAAATTTTGATAAATGGGAAATGAAAAATTGCTCGATGTCGCTACTACAATTATGCCGCTTTACTTCACTACACGCGTCTGACACAGGTATGCATATTTACGCTACGCTTCTCTATAGTTTCGTTAACTCGTAGATCTCTATGTGTCCTCGATACATCGAAGATGATTGCCCGCGTCTCGGTGATATAAATTTCGCACGTGGTTCCGACACAATCAACAAAAATTTCTAACGATCCCCACACAATACTGTCGTAGGTCATCATCAGCTGACAGCTCGCTTCGTAAAACGTAAAATTATTACTTTTTTCTATTCATAATTTCTTTGTAATAAAATAAAATCTCAAGAAAATTGCCAATTGTTTATTACACCGGAGATCAGTAGTATGATTTCACCAATAATAAATAGTAAGTTTAGAGTGTCTCTGTTGACATAAATTTTCTCAAACTTTCATTTTACAATTTGTAAATATTATTACACTTATGTTACCTAGCTCGATGTGTAACATCATTACAGAACAATTAGTCGTTGATCAAGTTCCGAGTGATAAACATGGACTTCAGTGATGTATATAACTGTGACATCAGGTAATTTTTATTTTCTGGAGAATGAAATTTTAAAAAGTAGCATAATACTTTATATTATTGGGAATATTGCAGAGTGAAGGAGGAACCAAATGATGTTTCCCCAATTGAAAATGAAGATTATATGATAATTGACAATGCATGCGATGCTGAAAACGACGAATTCTCGAGTTTTTGTCGAGAAAATTTAGTAAGTGTTGATGTGGGACTGTTTAGTCAATATTTTTATCAAGTAGTTTTACTAATTTCATTTCCAGATTCATGGGCTTAGAGAATATGATGAAAATTCTGGACCTAATGACGATTTGGAAATAGAATTCGAATGTAAAAACGAGAAGCTCGGCATTAATTTATTATTAGTCAAAAAGATCGAGGACGATTATCCAGATCAAGGGCAGTATATGAGAAATAGTTGCGATTATCAGACTCAAAAGAAATTTAAAGAAGAAATTGTCGACGAAGTAAAAGAGGAATTGAATTTGGATGGTGAACTCAGTGATGCATTCGATGCAAATAAAAAAACATTTGCTCAAAAAAGTCTATGCAAAACCCAAACTGATGGGGCAAGCAATCGTACGAAATATCCATGTAATGTATGCGGTCAAAAATTTTCACGAAAAGGTAATCTCAAGATTCACATCAATTCGATTCATAATGACGTCAAGCATACGTGTGTTACATGTCGAAAGACATTCAAACAAGAAGCATATCTCAAAATTCACATCGATGCGATTCATAATGATATGGCACCAACTTGTGAAGTATGCGGTAAGAAATTCTTAACTGAAGCTGCACTCAAGATTCACATCGATGCACACAATGGTGTTAAACATACATGTAATATATGCGGTCAAAAATTCTCACAAAAAGGTAATCTCAAGGTCCACGTCGATGGAGTACATAATGGTTTTAAGCATGCGTGTAGTATATGCGCAAAGACTTTCACAAAAAAATGTTATCTCAAAATTCACATCAATGCGATGCATAATGGTATGGCACCTACTTGCGAAATATGCGGAAAGAAATTTCAAACAAAGGATACACTCAAGATCCATATCGATGGAGTACATAATGGTGTTAAACATGCGTGTGGTATATGTGAAAAGACATTCACATCAAAAGGATATCTCAAGATCCACATCGATGCAGTTCATAATGATGTTAAACATGCGTGTGGTGTATGTGGAAAGACATTCATTCTAAAAGAAGGTCTCAAGAGGCATATCGAGGGACATAATGGTGTTAAACATACGTGTGTTACATGTGGAAAGACATTCACACTCAAATATACTCTCAAAATGCACATCGATGCGATGCATAAAGGTATGGCACCTACTTGCGAAGTGTGCGGAAAGAAATTCTTAACTGAGACTTCACTCAAGATCCACATCGATGCAGTTCATAATGGAGTCAAACATACGTGTGTTACATGTGAAAAGACATTCGCACACAAATATACTCTCAAAATTCACATCGATGCGATGCATAATGGTATGGCACCTAAATGCGAAATATGTGAAAAGACATTCACACGAAAAGGAGATCTCAAGAGGCATATCGATGCGGTGCATAATGGTATGGCACCTACTTGCGAAGTGTGCGGAAAGAAATTCTCAACTAAGACTAAACTCAAACTTCACATGGATGTAGTGCATAATAAGATAACTTACGCATGTAATACGTGCGGCAAGACATTTACTCAAAAAGACCGTCTTAAAACTCACATTAAAACGCATGAAGACATTGCATGCGTTATCTGCGGAGAAAAATTTAAACATAGGAAATATCTATACAAACACATCAAAAGTGAGCATAAGGGCAATACCCAAGCACGAGATCAATGCAAAGGATCATAGAACGTCTATCAGTACCACGCAAAATGATGATAACATCGAGACAAATGAGTAACCGTCAAACTGTCATTGAGATAGCTCATCACTCACGCATTACTACCCAATAAGTGTATGAAATTTACATAGAAATTTTGTAAAAAACAATTACTAATATATTTTGGATTACTCCTGTGTTTTCCATCTGACTGCTTAAGAAACGATCAAGTTTTAAATAAATTAATAAACTTTTTATTACAAAAAAAAACATGATGTTTCATTTTAATCAATCTATCTATAATTTTTATCAATCTGTACGGTTTTTTTGATCATTCAAATCACGTTATGAATTAACTTTTTTTTTCACACACCGTAGCTGTCGACGAAGTTGTCGAAGTGAAATAATACATCCTCGTAACTAACCTCGTATCGACGATATACATTACCGATATATGTTTCACGTGGAGCTTTTTATGCTATTTATAATGTCGTTTACGCGCGAAACAATATCGAACACGCCGACCCGGACGCTATATTATAATTCGAAATTTAAACTCGTATATGCAAATTCGCGGTGCGCGGATCGAATGGCTGCTTTACGCGGTTCCGCGATATATATCGTTAATATCGTACGAATTTCATAGTTCACACGAAGCTGTTGTAGTGCATGTGCGCTTTATAACGTTCAACGTTGCACCACGTAAATGATGTATATAACCGTATAGTAAAATGCAAATTATTATTATACATCGTGGTACACACGCTTGTGCGGCTCTCTAGGGACCATGAGCTATATAAGCATGAGACACAGACTGACAGGTGGTGTCTGCCCGGCAGAAAAGTGTCGCTCGCTTTGGCGATCGGTCGAACACGCGCGCGCGCGGCTTAAATTTTGATTTCACGCGCGGAAAAACATTAATCAGCTTTCGACGCTCGCGCGAATATAATAATGATAATAATTATATGATCGTTACACGCGGCGGAGGTGGCGGCGCGCGACCCAAAAAGTTTCATATTTCGCGCATGGCTAAGCTCGGCGGCCGTCATCGCGTCATCATCGTCGGTCAATCGTTGCGTATAGGCGCGTGATTTCCCAAGTAATTTTCGGGGGGATGCATGTGCACACGACGATGACGAGCTCGTGAATATACATACACGCGTATGCGCCTCGCGCCGTCATGCATGCGTTTATAGGCGCCAGGCGTGCTTGCAGCATATACAGCAGCTTTGCGGCCGCAATAATACTACGGCCAGCGGCAGCAGCAGCGGTACTTCATACTTCAAGGTCTATTGTCCTTCGGGGAGTTCGATTATAATACGGCACTCGTTCGGGCTAAATTGCACGGGATTCATGGGCGAGCGAGCGAGAAGGAGAGAGCTTGCAAGCTCGGTTTTTATTGTATCTTGCTGCGTGAGCTCGTATTGATTTCGGTGTGGAATATCGCGATGCCACGAGCTAGATTTGATGGAAACCAATTTCTCGCGTGAAATTTTCAAGATACGTCGTTAATTATTAGAATGTTTTTTCCCAATGTGTTGATGAATGGATTTTGAGGTCGTTGCAAAGAATCTCAATCAATTCATTTCATTTCGATAAAATTTTATCCAATCAAATCAATCCTAATTTACATACAAAATAAAGTCAATCTCGCGATCGCGAGTCATATTACTTCGCAATAAAATATCACAATATTATTATTATTATTATTATTGTTACAATTTACTTTGGCCAAACAATATTATTATTGTTTGGCCAAAGCCAAATATGCACGCAGCTATTATTACAATAATATAGTGCATCGATCGCATACAATAAATTGCGCGCGCGTAACAAACATCGATCGCAGCGCAGCACGTCACGCAGCGAATCAATCAATATAATCATAGAGGTTCTCTGCGTGCGGACTCGCAGCAATTTCGTAACGCTTAATTGGATGAAAATGATGAATTATCAATTTCATTTCGTACGCGTCACGGCCATGCGCAGCAGCAGCAGCAGGTATCCTGTGCCACGACGCAGCACGCGAACGCGTCGAGACTACAACTACTACTACCGTATACAGGCAAATTAGGCCCAGCGTTCAAATCGTCCATCGATTCGTATCCATACATACATACATGTACGCCCACGCATACGTATATTTGTACCGCGCGATGGAATGTTTATATCGCGTGTCCACGCGCTCGCGCTCGTGGGACGAATTCAATTAGCCTCGCTCGACGCCCTCTCGACGATAATTACATTTGCGCGCGGCAAAAACTAAGCCCCGATCATAATTGGACGCGAGATTTGAATTTCATTTTAGATTAAACTTCGTCGTCGATCGTATATACTCTGTGCTCGCGCACCATGGGAGCGCCTAGCTATATATAAAGCTCTCCTGTTATAACAGAGGAAGCTCTTTCCCTATATAATAGCGATCGCGCATCTGGACGTGGCAGTTTCCAATTACATAAATGGCACATTTTTGTCAGGTGCAATAGTATATAGCCGTAGCAGGCAGTGGTAAGGTTCGAAAACTCGATAATTATTGATATTAAGCGAGTCTGCATAGTCTGTGTCTCGTCTCTCGGATCGTCTCTTTGGGGAGGGATTATATGCGCGCGAGTTTGAAAAATTTTAATTGATATATACGGAGCGCGAGGCGCGTTTCGGTATCGCACCCTAGAGCGTATAAATACATTCATTTTTCGCCCTTCGACTCGACAATATCGTAAATTTTCCGATTCCACGCTCGATTAAACTTGCCACCGCGCATCCAGCGAAGCGTGTGTACACGAAATTCGCGCTCGCGCGCATGCCAATTTTCGCCTTGCACGTATCTCTCTCTCTCGCTCGTAATATCGTAAATATAAATAAACGTCTGCGGCGATGACGACGACGAAAATATATTCGCGAAATTTCGCCCCCCCCAGCAGCTAGTAGCATGTGTATGATGCATTTATACGGCGACCGGAAAAGAGAGAGAGAGAGTCAGAAACGCGAAAAAAGATCGGTCCGAATCACGGGTGCAGCCAGCACACGCGAGTGCTGAAATCCAGGAGATTATTCTATTTCCTCGCGACGACGTATCAAATGAAACTCACGCGTCGACTGCCGAGCTATATAGGGGGTGAGATGAGCTCTGCGCGACAAAAATCGATGTCGCGCCAACTCGCACCAGCATGCATTAATGCAGGCGGTATATGTATAATTGAAAAAAGCAGAGAGCAAAAAAAAAAGAAGAAGTCAAGTTTCATCGCGGCAATTTTTTCCCTGGGTTGAGCAAATTGCACCATCGGCGCGTTATATCCGCGCGCGCGAGTTATACCGAGCTACTACACCTCGTCGTCGTCTTTTTATTCGCGCATAGAAAGAGAAAGAGAGAGAAGCGTCGGTGTCAGGAGCTTGCATTACTGCACTGCACCGCACGAGCGAGCTGCAGCTCACAGTGAGCTTTCGCTGCAGTGACCCGTAAATCCTTGGGAAAAGCTCGCGCTCCGCCTGCCCTCCCCCCTGTCCCTGTCCCTGCTGGAACCGGTAGCGTGATTTATCGGGGCGCGCGATTGGGGCTCGTATACGCCTCGGCCGAGTCGCATAGCATGGTAGCTGCTATATAAGGCCTGCCACGTGGCCTAGCGCGGGACGCGTCAGAAGCCTCCGCTGGCTATAAATTCACCTTTAATGACGATAAATCATGTGTTGCGCTTTGGGTAGCGAGCGTTGGGCACCTGCACGTTGGCCGATCGCGCAGTTACGTACCCTACTAGCCCGGTTTATATTGTACAGCGGCACCGCCGGGATCGCAGCGGATCGAATTGCCGACGCGAGCTTGCGATTGTCATTAATACGAGCGCGCGCCTCGAGTTGCGCGACAACGCGACCGTGTATATATCACACGGTTAAAGTATTTACATGAAAATTAACGCAAAGGTGGAGATCGTTTTTTTTCCTCCGCGTGAATGTTTTCTATTTCGTGTAAAAGTATTGAAAGCAAGGTGGTCTGATTGAAAATAATAGATTTGTGCATGAAACGTTTATCGCAAACTTTATACCATTTGTTCCGTTGTAGGATAATAAATAAATTACTCGTGATAGCCGATGGATTGATAAAAAATAACAAATTTATTGACTAAATTCTCGTCGTTAATGCGACATTGCTAGACGGCGAAAAAAGCGAGTGACGCGCGACTATGACGAGAGATAGATGGGCTTTGAATTGAGGTCTAGCTTCGACTCACCGAGCGAGCAGATCGATCGAAAACTCACTGCGATACGCACAAACTATAACATTCAACTATAATATTCAAAATGCTGTAGGCAAAATCGTGCTTCTGATACTTATACAATTACTTGGACTTCGCCACTTGAAGATTTACTCATACAAAGATACTCGCCATCTAGCGGCGGACACTGGCTTTAATTATCCTCGAATCTTCATCGATTCTTCTTATAAATGACGCGAAAACTGAACAAGTATTGAAACAATAGTATTCAATCGAAATGTTTTATTTCGAGAATTGAATTTAAGGTTTTTGATGGATTTTTGCATTGAAAATAATGCATACGACTAAATTTTTGCATCAGCGATCAGTTAAGGTGATAAAATAAATACACATAACGAAACTTTCACGCAAAAGTACCATCTGCATAATTCAATATCGGTCGAATTAATTTCGATGTTTGATTTTACATTAAATCTGTATTAAATTTAAGGTTTTTATACGTTGCGCACTCGCACCACGGGAACCCGAGCTTATTCCACTGCACCTGTACGGCGTAGCGGGCTTATTGTTATTCGGGTCAGCCGCGGTGGCAACGGCAGTAGCGGGGCGGGTACGAGGATGGAAAACGCCAAGCCGAGAGTAAGAGAGAGATGCCAACTCGTCCACAGTCGCTTTTGCTCTTTCTTCCGTGTCTCTCGCGTTGGTGCCCTCCTCTATGCGATGCACCACTACTCGGCCCTCCATGGCATGCCGGCAGTGCACACGTAAACGGTGCAGGCGCGAGCGAGCCGGAGGATGAATAAAAGACAATGCCGGGCTATTACGCGCGGCTCGACGCGCTACTGCGCGCTTATACAGGTCCAGTATTTGCACTGTGCTCTATATACCGCTGTACAGCGCGCGACAGATGCTCATTTGTATGCTCGACTTGTGTCTATATATAGCAGTGGTAGTTGTTCCTTCCCGTGAACTGGCAGAGATTCGCGTTCGAG